CTGGGCTGTGCCTGGGGTCCCCATCGGTGGGTGGGCTGCAGCATCGCAGCCTGGGATGCACTCAGGGTGCTTGGACAGGGAGCACAAAGCACAGCCAGCTGGAAACCATCCACCAGAGGGCTTTTTTTTAAATGAAAAATTTGTAAACAAAAACCTGAGCTTTCTCCTAGAAAATTACCTTGCAAAAGCAAAAATCAATTTTTTTTATTTTTTTTTACTTTAGAACTTTAAAACACTGGAAACAATGAAATGTTTTTGTCAACTTAGGTTTTTTTTCCTAGATTCACTTTGCAAGGAGAAATGACAATTGCTCTTGTTTCCTTTTTTTTATCATTTCCCTTTTCTTTTTCAGTGTTTTACCAAATTCACCTTGATGTTCCTGGAAATCGAGAAATTCCCAAGGGAATGGAAAATCCAGTTCCTGCCTACCCTTTGCTTATGTCGCAATGGGAATGAGCCTCAGCAGGGCTGTGATGGGACGGGAGGAACTTCTCCTCTTCTGCATCGTGAGAAAGGCAGCCCCAGGGCTGCAGATAAAGGCTGCCCAGACCGGGGAGGAAGCCTGTCCTACTGGGTGACTGACCACACACTGTTTGGTTGTTTGATCCCAGCCTAACCCTGGGATAGCAAAGCTACCCCCTGCAGAACAGGCTGAGCGCTGAACTCTAAGCTTAGTGACTCCAGCATAAAGCTGACATCCCAACTTCCCCTTGGGAAAATAGTTCTCAGCCCTCTCTTAACAGAGGTTGACCTCTGCCCATTGCATTCCTCCTCCGCATCTCCTCCAGAGCACTGAACGAGAGGAGGGTTTGCATTGTTGAGGCACTTGGTCATCGTCCTCCCTGCCCTTGCTTGGGCTTTGCTAAGCTGACATCCCCATTTGAAGAAGATCCTGCCCTCCAGCTTCTCCCCCAGACCAGTGACTCTGGACTTGCACCCTGACAGTCACCATCACCAGCTAGTCCAGCATCTCCACAGCTGTTTTCAACACGGTCCCACTGCGGGAAAGCTGCCAAGACGCTTTTATTTCCAACTGATGCTTTTGTTAAAGCCTCCCACCAAGGGCTCTTAGGTGCCACCCACTCTCACCTTTCTGGGTTTGATGGTGTCTGGATCCACAGTACCTTCCAAGAGGCCCTCGTAATAACCGGCGTTCTCCAAGACATCCTCATCGTCCGGGTGGAAGAGGAGGTAGGACTTGGCACACTCCAGGGCTTTCACGTAGTCACCAACTGGGAGGCAACACAATAGTTGTCGGGGGGGGCACAGCCTGAGCTCTCCATCAGCTGAAGGGTGAGCCCAGCACTTAACAAGGCTCTTTCAATGACACTTTGTCTTAATCACTCCATTTCAGGGAAACTGAGGCACAGGTTGGGTGGTATCCAAATTGGATCCAGCTGCATGGGCAGGATGGGGGTGCTGTCCGGCAGCAAACTGCCTTTCTTCTGTGCAGCATCTCTCAGGGCTCTGGGGGGGTTTACCCACCACATTAAACCTCTAATTGGGCAAAAAAATTCAGAAGCCTGTACACCATTCTTGAAACGCTGCTGACTCCTCCAGCTTTCTTCCCATTGCATCGATGCATGAAGAAGCTTCAGGTTTGAGCAGCAATTTGGACTCACACATTCTGCCCTTTTCAGGAAAGAGCTCTTAGCAGAAGGCTGAGATAGCAGAATTCTGCCTAGAATTTCTTTTATGTAACAGAATCTAACAAAATACCATCCAGGACACAACTGGCAGTATTTTATAGCACTGCCAACTCTCGATACTTTTTAATATTGCCAACTCCTGCAACTTTACTGCGAATCTTCAAATATTTGGTAATTAGCAAAAATTGGCATCTTGGGATAAACTTGAGCTAAATTTTTATATATTATCTTAGAAAACGTATAAATTAGTTTCAGCAAATATGAAAGATATAAATCCTCAGAACTTTAGTATCAACAGGCAAATGAAAGGACCCTAAAAAAGCATGATTTATTAAAGAATAACAATGTTTAAGCTAAAGGTTGGGCTTTTAAAACCTGGCTGATGATTTAACACACTTTTACAAAAATACTTAATTGTGTTTCAGTCAGCTTGACTTTTGAAGAGACAATCTCCAATGTCCTTTGCTTCCTGACTCCTTCAGACCATGCCACTGCACCACTGTAGCGCAGACATCATGGGGAAATATCCTGATTTCCATAGGAAATAATCCAAACTTGTCCAAATTTTACAAAAATCAGCAAGCACTATGAGGACCAGCAAGACAGCCTTTACCTCTGTAATAGGCGAACTGCAAGTAGTCGTAATGGAGGGGAAGGAAATTTTCAATGGGTGAGATACGGCCCGAACGCGTGGCAAGCTCTCGGACGCAGTCATGTTTGCAGGCCAGGACTTGCATGTAGTGATCTGCCAAAAGAGGGAGAAAACGGTCTGGACTAAGGATGGTGACGGTGCTAAGACAAGGACAGACAGAGGTTAAAGCTCCCCAACGGAAGGACATGCAACTCACGATGCTCTGGTCCAGCAGGAGTGCCCACCTGGAGAAAGAGCTCAGGCTCCTTCCCAAAGCCAACCGAGAGCTGCAGTCACATTTTTTGCCCCTCTTGAGAAATGCCTTTCTCCTTCTGTCAACTCTAGAGGGAGCTTGAGCATCTCTTTTGTGGGCTGGGAGCTGCTGCTTCTGCCCAGGAAAGGCGGATGGGTGCAGGACGTGCAGGTGGCAGGTCGCTCTTCAACCCCAAGAGCCAAACCAAAGGCAACGACACCCACAAAGCAAGCGGAGATGTGAAGACAGGGTGGCCACATGAAAGCCATCTCCACGCTTCTTTCCTTCAGCTCATCTTTAATCCTTTCCTTTCTGCAGCAAGAAACCTCCCAAGGGCATGGGGAGGTTTTGCTAAGAGGGGTCAGGGCAGCTTCTCCAGCAGGGCTGAGCTGAAGGGTCTAATGTGCAAATACTGGCAGCAAAATCCCTGTGTTTGCTGCTTCTCTCCCAGGGAAATTAAAGCACATGGTAAACATCTGCCATTACCAAGGTTTCTTAATTGGTGGGAGTCCACAATACAGGCGTTCTATCATCTATACAATTTTGAAGCCAATGCTGACATCTGATTCCCGTTTGGAGCCTCTGCTGCAATGTACTTACAAATCTATTTCACTCGCTCTGTCTCTGTACACCATTAAAAACCTTAAGAAACAAACACAGGCTTGGAAAAAAAAAAAACAACACCCAAAACAACCCATGTGCTCAGCTACCAAAGCATTTCTCTGAACTGCCAAGAAACAGCCTGAGGAATTCGCAATGAAATCAAGTGGAAACTCAAACCAGTCCCCGTTTGCTTTGGGCAGGTAGTCTGAGTAGTTATCTGATTTACTATTCACATCCAGGGAATTACATTAAGGAAAGCAAGAAGGAAAAGGACATAAATAATTTTGTTGTAATTTAAAACTATTTAAACATCCTAGACCTGGAATAATCCATCACTGAGAAGTTTTTTCTTGGTACTGTCCAGGTGCTCTAGGAACAGGCTGTATAGACTGGAACCACTGAAATGCATCTGTCCCCGGGGTGGAGAGATGAGAACGCTTCAACCCCACGCAGCAGCAGAGCAAATCAGCTTGGGATTGAAAAGAAATGAGTTTTGAAGAAACCAAGACTCTCTTTTCTTGGCGTATTAGTTCCCACTCCCTGCTGAAACATCTGGGGCTGAGTGCCCTGGACGCAGGGGTAAACTCTGCGCTGTGCTGTCCTGTAAGCAACCACTCAGTTCCCTACAGCAAAGCGGTTGCGTTACGTATCCTATTTCCCTCCATGTGCCCTCCCTCCCCTGTTTCTTTGGGTGCCTGAGCAGCCCTGGGGTTTGGAGTTGTTTTTCCCAGGCATACGTGGCCAAGCCAAGCCACAGCGCTTGCAGAGACCATCTTGTTCTCACTCCGAGGTGACGTGCTGGGTTGAGGAACCACCACCCCACGACCACGTCTGCGCTCCGCATGGGCCAGCACAGAAACATCTTCTCTGCTCGCTGGGGCTGCGCTTGCACGGCACAGAAACTGTTTAACAGAGACCAAAACCTGTTGGATAAGCAGCAGCTTCCAGTGAGAAGGGAGGCGGGTTTTCTTTGCCACTGAAGGCTGCTCTCTCGGAGGGGTTGATATGGCCCTTGGGGTGCTGGCCATGGCTTTAAAGAAGAGACAATCAGCTGACAGTTCCACTGGTACCGAGTCAGCCCTTACAACACTTCTCACATGTTTTGCATGGGTAAATAAACCCAACAAAGGCAGCTTCCTAGCCGGTATGTTGGTGGTTTCTCATCTTGGTCATTTCTATTAGATTTCCTGTCTCGACACAAACAGAATTATGCAAAATCAAAAAAAAAAAAAATCTGCATCTGAGTGAAGTATTTTCCACATGAGAGGCAAAACTCCAGAGCTTGATGCAACTCCAAGACCATGAGCAGATAAAGAAGATTTCTGTCACCAAACAGACCTTAATTTATTGCTCTTCTTTCCCTTTGGACTAATTAAATGTAATCTCATTTCTACTGAGAATGAACCGTTTTAATTCCCTCTGGCTCAGAGCCACACATGCAAATCTGAAGATTACACAGCAATGCTCCATTCTCTCCAGAGATTTCAGTCAAGATCATAATTAAGTGGGCCTCCACTAATGACAAATCCATCCCTTTGGATGGGGAGGAAATCTATGTTCTGAGCCTTTCTGGCAACTTTCCTGGCCAATCTGGAGCACAGCCAAGAGGACTCTGCTGCTCTCTTCAGATGCACTGAAAAACAGAGAAAATACAAACAGGGGCCAGCAACGTCTCGGTTCCAGTGAGGTATGGGAGACTGTGTACGGGGGAAACAGAGGCGATTTACGTCAAAGCACCTGTACTTCCAGCTCTTACGAAAAGCTGCAAATGCTCCATGCATCTGGAAATTCAATTCTTCTAGTCCAGCTTCAACTCAGGACCAAAATGAGATGCTCTAGTTCCCTGTCTTCTGGATTTGCAAGTGCCTCCTGCAGTGTTACCCCCCAGCAGCAGTGATGGAAGGGAAGCCACTTCACCAAATCCAGCCCAAGCTCAATAAAAAAATTGCAGGGCCAAGGTTGGGAATCCTAAAGACCAAAAAGATCTCACCTGCAATAGCTTCGTAGAGGTCAGCCTTATATTCCAGGTACTCGTGCTCCTCAAACCTCTGTGGCCCCTCGCACATGATCTGGCAATCTTCATCCTCGGAGTAGTACCCTTTCAATGCGCGTTCCAAGAAGTCAATGGCCAGCTCGTACTCCTCCTTGTCATAGTGCCTCACTCCGGCACTGTAGTCCTCCTGCAAAGTAGGGAGCCAGAAGACAAGACCATGAGCGGGCTATGCTGCTCGGACCACAGCATCCCGTCCTTGCCAACTGCAGGCGCTTCTCAAAACAAGGTACAAGTGGGCAGGGACTGAAGGATCTTCAGCATCTGAAGGGGGCTACAGGAAAGCTGGGGAGGGACTTTTTACTAGGGCATGCAGTGACAGGACAAGGGGTAATGGATTTAAACTGGAAGAGGGTAGATATAGACCAAATATTAGAAAGAAATTTTTCACTGTGAGGGTGGTGAGGCAGTGGCCCAGGTTGCCCAGAGAAGCTGTGGATGCCCCATCCCTGGAGGGGTTCAAGGCCAGGCTGGATGAGGCTTTGAGCAACCTGGGCTGGTGGGAGGTGTCCCTGCCCATGGCAGGGGGTGGCACTGGATGATCTCTAAGGTCCCTTCCAACACAAACCATTCTGTGATTCTGTCATCTCCCCAGGTACCTACCAGATGTAAGCAATTCTACCAAACCATGTTTAAGCCATCAATGGATTTTTGGACCAGTGGAACCTCATAAACCTGCCTAAATGCTCTTCTGAACTCCTCCATCCTTGGGGAATCCTCAGTGCCTTTGCAGGATTATGCATTATGTGAAAAAACTTTTTTTTTTTTTTTTTTTTTTTTTACCCTCCTAGCCATCAACTACACCAAATGCCAAGGGAAGAGACTGCTCTTAACCCAGGCAGATTTGTCTTAGAATGGCCCCTAATGAGGATCTCCATTAATTACACCAAATGGCCACTCTTGCTTCTTTGCATCTTGTGAAAACAGAAAGTTAGGGATGGCCCTGGCGTCTGTGCTGGGCATTTGCTTTGGGGAGGTGGAAGCTGTCACTGTCCTGCCTACCACTCTGCACCCTCACCAGCACAGCCAGTCGTGTGCACGTACCCTGCTGCCCAGGTGGGAGAACCCAGCTCCAAAGAAACACACATCCGCCAAGATCTGCCCGTCAGCGCCCATGGAGGCATCCATCAAACCTGCCTGCTGGTGCATGTTCACAGCCAAGGATGACCCCAGAGTTCCCTGAAGAAGGGACCAGGTTGGGGACGTAGCCAGCAAACAAAGAGCAGAGAGTGCCTTGAAAAAGCAGGGGCTGGCTCGCCTTTCAGGAGAGCGCTCAGAGTTTGTTTTGCTGTATTGTAATACAGACCTTGGCAAGAATCTCCCCATTCACAGATGATGCTCTCTTGGCCTCCCAAATCTCTTCTCTCCAGACTGCCTGACACTTCACCCAGGCACCTCTCTAGCTCAAACTCACCATGTGCTGCTTGGCCTCCCAGTCAACCAAGCTGACCTTCCCCGCCGTGCTCTTGTAGTTCTCGATGTCCTGCTGTATCTCCATGTGCTCGGGGTTTGCCATGAAGAAGGTGTGAGCTGCATTCGCTGCCTCCTCCAGCTTGTTCAGCTGTAACAAGCCAAGAAAGACCAAGTGAGTAGGTGATGCAGAACAGTGAACACAGCAGTCTACACCTCTGACATCCTTTTGACATCACTGGACTTGGCAATGATGAGATAACCAAGGAAAACCTGACCGCAGAGGCTAAAGAAAACAGCTGAAATGAGAAGAAAGCCCTCGTTTGCAAGGGAAATCGG